ACAAGCTAAGATAGCATTGAAACTCTTCCAGTCTTTCTTATCAGCTTTGGCTTTAGCTTCCTTTAACATAAAATTCAAATGAAAACTGTGTACAAGTCCTTTCTTCGTAAGTTGGCCTTTATAACAGATTCGCCCAAATAAAGGGCGACAACAATCTGAGCAGCATCAGGTTTCTTCATAGAAGTATGGAAAGGAACTTGGTGCAAAATAGGAACGTCCAAGATGGTAGAATATTATTCCAAAGTTGGTGCCAACAGATAGTCAGAGAACATGAGGCATCTCAGTGTGCGATCATAAAACTGAAATAGAGCTTGGAGGGCATCCTTTTGGTACTCACTGAGAGGCAACTTTAGACACATCAGGATTCTTTCATAATATTTAGTAAAGGTAGCAACATTCTCGAGAGGAGACATCTTGGCTAGCAGAAGAAGATTGTCGAGAACTGACACAGAGAACTTGTAGACGACATGATATCTGTGATTGTCTTTCTTCTCAGTATCCATCTTCAAAGGCGGCCTAACCAACAAGACTCAGAGACTAGAGATCCTGGAAATAAGAAAACATGTATACCAAAATGAGATTGATAAAATGTTTCATGAATGCAATGGGATCATGGCTTCCATAAACTGAACCATTGTTGTGTTGATAACAAAACCACAGTCACATGTAACAGGATCTAAGGTTCGGACCATTTCAGAACACCAAAGGACCAAGTATCAAAGATCATCATTTATACCTACAAGAATAGTTCTCACCCCACCTCACGGGTAAATTCTAATCATAACAAGGTTTCTAAGGGAAACTAGAGTCGGAAGTCCTTTATCTGAACACCTAGTTTATGCACAAAGGGTGCAAGACAAAAGGCATCGTCAAGAGAACCTCGTCTGAGTGTGGTATCTCATGCCTCCTTGCACGTGTCAACAAAATACAGGATTTGACATTGGTATCCGTCTAACCTATGTGTATACTGGCCTGGGTAATGGGCTTTTATCTCATGGAACACCCTCCCGCCAATGAAACAACACAGCACAACATCAGTACATGGAAAGCAATAAAATGTAATGCATACATATGCTCAGATAAACATGTACAAATGAAAAAGCTATAAAGCATAAAGATAAACACCCAAAGAAAACAAAACAACAAGAGCTAGGAGTGACTCTGGGATGGACCAGCATTTGGTCAATAATTCCCCAGTGAAGTTGTCAACTGAAACAACCGGCCGAACAATCATCGAGAGAAAATCAATGAAGTTCGACATCAATCACTGAGAAGAGTGAAATCACGATCAAACAACTGAGAGATACGGGTAAGGGAGTCAATTACGTGAGGGGACGATATTAGCACCCCTCACGTCTGTGGTACTCAAATATCATGGATAAAACCCTAATCAATCTTCCCTTGATTAAAAATAGATCCACAATAAGCATGAATCAAAATTCTAATTCCACTTCAATGCTTAAAGAAGAATCAGATGAAATCAGCTTTATTCGATATATACACCTCAAAACACTATGAAAACCCTATCTTGTACGCCCACTGAACTTTTGAACCTCACGTGCTTTATTGAGTGAAACTACATGTTATGCTAATGACCTAATGAACATGATGCAAATGCAATGTTAAACCTAAGTCAGATAAAATCAAGATATGAGGGAAAACTTTAAGGTGCAACACCAAGAAATACACATGGAGACTGGCATGATGACTTCGTCGGAAGATGGTTTCTCTTCCTCGACCTTCTTCGATTTAGGGGCGTCCTCGCGGGGACCCTCTTTCTTCTTGTACTGCTTGAGATACCCATCTCTGATGAGGATCTCAATGGAATCCTTCAGGTGGATACAATATTCAGTGGTATGCCTATGGCTCTTGTGGAACCGGAAATATTTAGTTTTGTCTGGCTCGGGATTGGACGGAGTCCGTTGAGGAAAGTGGACTCCGGCCTGATGATTTCTGAATATGCGCAGTCGGTCAAGATGCGCTCATGCTAGGCGTTCAGAGGAGTATAATCATGGAACCGGCCAGCTGGCCCTTTGTATTCCTGTGATTCGTGGGGCTTGTCGTCTCTTCTTTTGTCTGATCTTCAACGAGATGTCGAGGAATCATCATGCTTTGAGGGCTTGGCATTCTCCTGATGCCGTGAGCCTTGTGCATTGTTAGCAGCTTCCTTTTCTTCATACCGGATGTATGCCTGGGCCTTGAGAAGGAGGGCATCCAGTGTAGTAGGTGTTCCTATGCCAACTGCTTTGGCAAAATCACTGCGGGGATGCAGCCCACGCTCCATCAAATATTTTTTCATGTCGTCAGTCATGGAGACCTGAACGGATTCGCGGTTGGACCTTTAAATATATGCCCAGAGAGATTCATCTTTTCCCTGAATGATTGCTTCCAACGACGCCTCAGACTTTGTATGTCAGCGAGAAACAATAAAGTGCCTGGAGAATTGCCTCCCCAGGTTCTTCCAAGATATGATCAACTCGTCTAGGAGGATTTTGTACCAATCCATAGCCCCATTTCAGAGAGTGGTAGGAAAAAAATCGACACTTGATGGCTCCTTAGACGCACCTGTAATCGAGCAGGGCATCGATGTTCTCGATGTGCTCGTCTAGATCAGTGGTTCCATCATACGTCCCCAGATTTAGAGGTTTCTCCAGAATGACGGGCAGGGGTGTTCCATGATTTCTCGGGATAATGGACCGTGTGAGTCGTCCTCATCGTTCAAGTCTGGTGATGGGGATGAAGAGTGATTGTTCCTTCCTCGTCAGGGGATTATCCACCCGATGGAGAGAGGCGTTCCTCGATCGATCCTTTGCCTTAGGAGAGATCGAGTGTTGATGCTCTGATCGTTTATTTCCCTTGGTAATCGGGGACCTGCATTCTTTACGGGGAGGTGTTTGGTCGCGCTTCTTGATTAGCGATGTTCGTGGTTTTTGTGGTGCTGGATAATAGCTAAGTCGTAAAGGCAATGGGCTGTGAGACCTACATCATCGGTACCCTTTGGGCGGGGACTTGGAGCGGTGCCCTTTTCTAGTGCCTAGATCCTATTGTTTTGTTGTTGAATCAAAGCATTGGTTTGGTTGAGTTCTGCGAGCAGAGCAACTATGGTAGGATCAATGTTGGTCGGTATTAGAACTGGCTGGAGGATCGCTGGTGGTTCTTTTGGGACTTTCTTGGACTTCTGGTTTTCCAAGAAATGAACATCGTCGTCCGCCTCGACCGAGGAAGAGGACGCAGTGCAACCGTCCCTTTGCATGGGAGTATCTTCAAGGCGGGGCATATCTCTGTTGTCGTCAGTCTTGCGGCCAGGGGACAAGACGGTTTTGTCAACAAGGTGGTTGTCATCTTGATCGACCATGGTGTGAATCTTTAGAATGTTGCTTTGATCTTTATTTTTCGGGGAAAGAAAGATGAGGAAAACTGTTTCCCACAAACGACGCCATTGATCTTATCGGTGATCAGAACTTGTAATTGATGATAAATGATGTTTGTAGAGTTGAAATCATGGAGGAGGGGGTGTACCTGCAAGACACTCTGACGCTCAAGTAAGAGTTCAAAGAGATACAAGAGAGAGTTTAGGATTTTTGAGTGAATATTGAATACTTGATCCTCACAAGTGTGAGGGTTTATATAATGCCTCTGACGCTTGACCAATGGTCCCTATTTTTGAGTTTGGGTATCAGGTTCCTCAAAAATAGGTAAATGCCAGGAACTAGTCGTTGTAACGGGCAAATATGTTCGGAATTAGTTGTTACAACGAGCAAAGGAGTATTCACGGGCAAGCGTGATCTGGTCATTCTTGGGTGGCTGTTCTCCTCCTCCTACAGAGTGAGAACTGGCTTGTTGATGCGGACAAAGGTGTGGTTTGAGGGCAACGGTGGTCTCGTTGGATCTGAGGGGCGACTAACCACACGTCCCCTGCTAAGTGGCAGAAGGGAAAATGCCCTTTGTCTGTCCAAATTGATTGAGCCAGAGCTATTGGACTGTTTTGGACGTAGAAGTGGATTGGGCTATGTCTAGTCATTGGTCCAATCCAGAACAACAATGTTACATAATTTTGTGTTAAAAAATTTATAAAGAAACTTTTCATAAAAACTTCAATTGAAATTTTGGTTTGAATAGTTGTTCTTAAAATGTAATTTTATATATTTCATCTTCTTATTGAAACTTTTTTTGGATATCAAAATTATAAAAAAAATCACTTAATTTTGAAACTATTTTAAATAAATTTTCATAAAAATTATTTTTGAAATACAACTTTTTGAAAATATTACGATTTTAACTATGTGTTGGTCTTCAATAATATATGTTTATGTTATAGAATATCAAAATTGGTATTTCAATTTAGAAAAAACGAATATAAATTTTTTTTTAATATTTTAAAAAATCTATTTTCAAAAAATATAAAAAAAAATCTATTTTTTAAAAGCTGAATCAAATAGATCCTAAATTATTAAAAATTAAAGATAATTGGAGAGTAGAACATACTCAAATATGTTTTGGTGTAATTAAGTATGACTTTTTTTTTGGTATAGTTTTTTTATTTATGTTTAGCATAGTTTATGTCTTATTTTTAATAAATTCTTCTTTTGACCTATAAAAAAATCAATAGAACTTTTCAAAATATTAAACTCCGACTTAAAAATAAATCTATAATAAAATACATGTTCTAAACGTTTAGACAGAGTCTTATTTAAAACTTTCAAAGTCTATCTTAGTACGATCAATTTACATCCTTGATTGGAGGAAATATTAGACGTTTTTGAATAAATCTTCAAATTCATTAGTTAAGCTTATAATACTCTTCCAAAACAAATAAAATATTATTCTATTTTCATCACACTCCTTTCAAATGTTCACTCTATAAAAAAGAAGAGGTTCTTCTATGTTTCTTTTCCTCTCATTCCCTTCAAAACATTTTCAGTTTGCTTTCAAAAAAAAATTAAATGATGAATAATGGTTAATTACATAAGTGTTAGTTTCAAGAATTGCTCAATATTCCTATGGTGAAGATCGTGCAGAATTCGTTGTATACAGGTAGAGAGGTAAGATTGTGGGTAGAAATGTGCACACTATTTCGTTTTTATTTTTAATAAATCTGAACCATTAAGATAACCTGATGGTGAATTTACAGTATATTATCGGTAATGGATTTAATTGAGCCTTCAGTCTACAGGTCACATATAAAAATACTTTTTTATATTTTTACTAAATTTTTTAAATGCACATAATTATTCGTGACAATAACCTATTATTTCTTGTAAATAAATTAAATTAACATATCTTTGTAAAAATATTCTTGGAAAGTATACTAGACCTTATCTTCCAAAGTATACTAGACCTTATCTTCCCATTGTTCATTTTGGTTGGAAATATTTTATAATTATTATAATCATCAAATTGTTAAACTTGGAAATATATATATATCATCAAACTTATCTTTTTATTTTATTGGTTTACGGAGAAATTAACATGTCATCTTTTATATTATATATATTATTATTTAAATTTTATTATTTTTTAAAAAAATATTTATTTTAAAATATTTATTTTTATTAAAAAAAATTATTATTGGTTGAAGGAGATAAAACCGAAATTTCCTGTATTCTTGACAAATTTTTGATACTGAGTTTTGTCGCATATCAGAAATTTTGTACATTCTACAAATTTCGAGTTGTCATTTATTAGAAATTTCAAAATTTTCGACTGTGACTTATCGGAAATTTCAAATTTTCCGTAATTTTTTACAAAAGTCATTACACGTATCAGAAATTTGCCGAAAACCTTTACCGAGAATATTGAACTTCTGGTGTACCAGAAATTTCAGTTATACTTGAAAATTCCGGTATGTCTGCAGATGAAGTTTTATATCTTTGTGGTCCTGAATCGATAGCTTCAGTTTCTTCTACGGATTCATGTACTGATTTACGCAGTTCTTCATCACATATACCGTATGTTTTCTATTTAATTTACACACTTTTTTTTTTGTAAATTAATGAAGTTTATTAATTATATGTTATTGTAATTGTCAGATTTTTGAATCACGAGATAAAATTCTAGAATGGGCACAGTCTACTGGAAAAAATCATGGTATTGTTGTTGTTATAAATCGGTTCGATTATGCTAATGGACTGCGGGAGAGGAAGGATAAATTGATTATGGGTTGTGACAAAGGAGGAAATTACAAAAATAAAAATGAATCTCTGAAACCTTCTGATGGCAATTATACTATGAAGGTTAGATGCCCATTTAGGCTGAGATCTGTTCCAAGTGGTATCGGTTGGAAGGTGATGGTTAGATGCGGGATGCACAATCATAGACTAGATAAGGATTTGGAAGGTCATGACATATTGGACCGTCTAAAAGATCATGAAAGAAAGTTTGTGAATGACATGACGAAGTACAATATGGCACCAAGGTACATCATTTATGCTTTGAAAGACAAAGACCCAGAAAACCTCACGAGTATTACCCAAGTATACCGAACTAGAGCAACATACAGATTAGGCAAGAAATGTGCAATGACAAAAATACAAATGTTATTGAGCCTTATTCACCAAGAGAAATACATGTGTTGGACTAGAAATAGGGAGAATTTGAATATTGTGGCTGATATCTTCTGGACACACCCTGACTCCGAAGTTGATGAATATGTTTCCTCTGGTGTTAATTTTTTATTGCACATACAAGACAAATAGGTAAGAATTTTACTTCTCCCATCCTAAAATATGTTGAGTGAGTTGGTTGATGAATGTATATTTTAATCATGCAGGTATCGACTACCACTGTTGGAGATTATTGGTGTTACATCAACAAAATTGATATTTTCAATTGCTTTTGCCTATTTAGAACATGAAAGGGAGGAGAATTTCACATGGGCACTACGGAAGCTCAAAGAGTTGTTCTATTCAGAGAAATTGCTACCAAATGTTATGGTGATGGACCGTGAACTTGCATTAATGAAAGCCATTGATTCCGTGTATCCAAATACAATCCATTTGTTATGTACATTCTATATTTCAAAAAACGTGAGCATGAAATGTAAAGAGTATGTGAAATTAGAAAGACATGAACATGTCATGGATCAATGGAACAACATCATGTATTCAAATACAAAAGACGAGTTTGATTTACATGTCAACCACTTTGAGAGTGTTTGTGGTGATATTTCATCATTTGTCAAGTATGTGAAAGAAATATGGTTAATGCCATATAAAAAAAGATTTGTTGCTGCGTGGACTAACATAATCACTCATTTAGGGAACACAACAACAAACAGGTACATTGGACTAACAGAAAATATGTTTATGTTTAAATAATATGTTCATGATTTCTAGGGTGGAGTCTGCACATTGGAGACTAAAGAACTTGTTGACTACAAGTCGTGGTGATTTATGTCGAAGTTAGGATGTTGTAAACACAATGTTGAAGTTGCAGCTAAGTTCCATCAGAATGTCGTTTCAAAAAAGTATCGCCAACATTGAGCATCGGTATAACACCTTTTTCTATTCTAAATTGTACATTTTTGTCTCAAGACAATGTATACAACTTATTGGAAAGGAACTAGAAAGAGTAAAATTTGTCGGTACAAGCAAGGAGAGGTGTGGTTGTTACATTAGAAAAACACATGGGTTACTGTGGTTTCCAAATTATAGGCATCCCTTATACCTTTGGAATCAATTCATGTATTTTGGACGAAATTGCACATTTCAGAACATGGTGTGAGTCCTAATGAGAGTACATGAGATTTAGAAGAAGAGTGTGAAGAGTTGAAGAGATATTTTAGTACTTTGGATATTATTGGTCAAAGGGTGTTGAAGAAAAAAGTTTGTGATCTAACCTATCCATCCACAACTTCAATGTGTCCACCGTCGGTGAAATACAAGCTAAAGATGGGAGTTAAGAATAGTAGAAAGGGTGAGGAGAGTGATGCGCTTCGTGATCCTAGTCAGTAGGAATATGTTGATGCTTTGCAGGGGAGTCAGATTAAAATGAGATCATGCACAAAACCAAGTGGAAGTCAATCGTCAACCACGTCGATTGGTAAGCAACCTTCTACCAAATCTGCAAGAGCTGAGTACTTGTCATAGTTTCCTGTGTTCTTTCATCCATACATCGATGACATTATTGATGTAAATAATGATGGAAACTTTGGTTTTCGTTGTATCTCATCTTCATTAGGATGGGGGAAGAGGCATGTTATTCGACTCAGAAGCAGTTGGATACTCAAGTCCATCAACACGCTGACTTGTTTTCCAAGTTGTTATATGATATTGTCTCTGTTGTTAGGACTTTGTTACAAGTAAAACACTTGGGTGTCTAGGATATGGATAAGTGAATGTCGATTCCTGATATGGGTTATCTCATTACTTCTAGATACAGTGTCGTATTTGTTTCCCTTTCCATGAGACTTAACATAACATTTTCCCACTTCTCATAGCTCCACCCCCGTACACGAGTCGGCATACAATCATTGTTGTTGGTTTTGTCAATGAAAATCATTAGATTCAGGTAAATCTGAAACTCGATTGTCCACTGCCTCCCGTCATTAAACGTTGGAGGGAGAATTGTTCTAGTGATGTAAAAGCATGGGAATCAGCATATGCGGGTCACTTTAGACATTGGAAAGAATTGTCTAGGCCGTGATTGTAGTTTTTTTAATGCAAATATGTATGACATTTATTCTATTTATATATTAAGTGGATTCACTATTTCACTGTGTATTTTATTCAAGTAATAGTTAAAAAAAAAATTTAAATCACAGTATTACCGGAAATTTGAAATTACCAGTATTCTTCACACACTGGAAATTTCAAATTTCTGTTTTTTTTATAATGATTAATGTAACACGGTCGGAGAACTGACTTGGGTGTTTTGGGTTTTATCTCAATTGTTGCGGATAGCAAGAGTCGTCACCGACTTTTCTTTTATCCAATAAGGAAAGGTTAAAAAGAATAGGAAAGACCTTTAGAGATGTTTTGAGTTCGGGGGGTAGATTATGAAAAGGGAAGGTATTAGCACTCTTTTCATCCGTAGTTATCTACGGGCTCTTAGCTTCTTGCTAGATCACTTGTTTTTGTTTGAATGTGCTTGTGGTGTGGGTTTTGAAAGTATTTTGAAAATGTCTTTGTAATGGTTCTTGTTTCTATAAGAACGCGTACAAAGAGTTATTTCAAAAATAGTTCAAAGAGGTGTTTGTGGAATGTGTTTTTGAAAGTGATTTTGAAAAGGTATCTTTGTAATGGCTCTCGTTTCTATAAGAACGCGTACAAATTGTTGTCTTTTGAAAATGTTTCAAAATAAGGGTGTAGGTGTATAAAATGTTTTTGTTGTGAGCAAGCGAGCAACTAGGAGCAAATATACCTACTCAAAAGGTCTTAGATGTTCTTTTCCTCCTCCTTTAGATGTTGCTATCTTACCATTGTTTTGGTAAGAATCCCCATCGTTGGATATGAAGGGACGGGCGTGAGACGTTTGTATAGTCATAGAAGGCAACCTATGAGACATTTTAGCAATGTTGTTTTTAGGGACTAGATCGTTTGCCGAAGGCAACATCGAGGGACATCGAGGGACTACGATCTTTTATCGAGGGTCTTTTCTAAAACGCCCATGTTCGAGGGACATGACTATTTTTCCGATAGGCAATAAGTGAGATTACCCTAAGGGTGCATGTGTGAAAAGTGTGTTTGATTTGCATGCATCTTTTGTCTTGATTAGGGGTTGTCTACTTGTTGATTTTATCTTGCCATACACGCCTAATTACTAGCATTTGTACAAAGTAAATAAAATGCAGAAAGATAAAATCCTACACCATTACAACCATATCGAAAGGCATAAAAATATGAAGGTAAAAATAAGATAAAAGTAAGCAAAATGGGAGTCTTTCGATTGGGGTAGGAGAACTCTTTGATTGGCAATTCTGGGCCTCCTTCGATTGGGATTTAGAACCAATGCAGGCGTGTCCTTCGATTGGGGGGAAGCAGCCTTCGATTTGCATTATGTTGGCCTCCTTCAATTGGGGACTGGCATCAGTAAGGCCATGTCTTTCGATTGGGCCTTGGCAGCAGCAAGGTTCTGTCCATCAATTGGGCACTGGTACCAGTGAGGTCCTGTCCTTCGGTTGGCCTAGAAGTTAGTGTATGGTGAAGCCCAAGGTTCTGCCTTGTTGCCTTCTTTGATTGAGGCTGGCAGCAGCAAGTCATGGTTTTTGATTCTGGATGGACTTTAGTGTAAGCATGCCTTTTGATTCTGGCTGGACTTTAGTGCAAGCATGCCTTTTGATTCTGCCTTTCTGCTTTGGAAGTCAGCAAGGAATCCCAAGGCTTTGTTTCATGTTTCCTTTCCCCTGTTTCTTTTGTTTAAGGAACTAAATGGCAACATGGCCTAAGGCCATGGTAATATTTGTCTTGCAAACAGTATAATAGTTCAATCATATTTAAGTAAACAAGCCGCAAAACGAAAGGGGGGTTAGCTCTGAGAACATCTTAAGGGTGTAAACAAAAGGAACAATGGTATGTACATGCTTGAAACGGAAGAAAATATTATTTACATATTATGCCATGAAACGAAAAGTCCAAGGGTAAGAGCGACTTACCTTGCTGGAGGCTTCGAATGGGTGTGGGACCTTGAGTGGAGGCCCAGGGTACTGGATTCGAAAGAGTGGGTCAACACTTCTGCTTGGAACGTTGGATTCGAAGGAAGGAAAGAAACAAGTCTTATGTTTCTTTCCAAGCTGGATTCAAAGGAATGTAAAGTGTTTGTTCTTCAGAATTGAAAAAAGTGACAAAGGGATTATGGGTTTGTTCTTCACAAGTGTTTAAGGACTTGGGAGATTTTGTTGTGTTTGAGAAAATTTGGGAGATTCGTTCCTCTGGTCCAAAGATCCTCCCTTGACTTTGCAAAAATTCATTTATTTATAGAAAAAAGAATGGACATGTTGTAGTAGCCAGCTTGCAAAGAAATAATAAAATATAGGTAACATGAGAGGTGCAAGTGGGAGTCCTGTTGGCAGTTGGGATATGACTTATGCTTTTGATTTTGACTTTGCTTATGCTCGGACAAAATGAATTTGGGGGCTCAAGGAGCTGACTTGGTGATTAAAATAACCTTTATGAGAATAGATAACAAAGCTTTTCGTTATTTCGTCCAAAAATAGTAATATCTAATGGATAAAGCTTCGATTTTGTGTGTAGAACTCTGATCATGTGAAGATTTGGAAGTAACATAGCCTGTCAAGTAGCTGGTCATGAGATTTTCCTCAGATTTGCTTCAAACGAAAACTGCTTCGAATGGCTCAGCTTGGATTTGAAGCAAGCTGATTCGAAGGGGATCCACATCCCAATCGAAGCTTTACATGCAGGTACTTTTGTCCAATCGAAGGTTTGTTTTCCAGGGGTCACATGTGGCCAAACGAAAGGTGCATGTAAGAGGCCCAAATGTCCAAACGAAATGTTTGACTAAAACCTTGTGCTGAAGGATTCATGTGCCCAAACAAAGGGTACATGCTGGAGGCCAAAATGCCCATATTCGAAAGAGGCACCAAGGAGGCAAAGAGTGCAAATCGAAGGATGCTAAAAAGGGAGCCTTTTGCCTTGGAATCGAAGGAGGCTACAGAAGGCTTTTTTCCTTGTGCCTGCTGGTCTTGTGGGTGCCTCTTGCATGCAAGAAAGAATTTGTGACCCAATCGAAAATCTATATG